AATTTTCGTTTTGGAAACAAGATCTTGTTTCTGTTTTCTCTGTGGTTTCACAGTTGTTTGTAGTGCTTATTTACATGTGGCACAGCAGCATCAATCCCAATAACAATCACTTCCAACTTATTTGTAATCCTCCTCGTCAACCCTTGATCTAGCATTTTCAGACAAAACCTCCAGTGCTTGGGTCAGTTAGTTGCTCCATAGCCTTTCCCCACCATGCACCATCCTGCCTAGTTCTTTACTTACATTATTTCTTAATGTCTGTCTCTCCTCCACACTTGCCTCCTCAGCCTCCTCTCCCCAGACCTGTCCTTCTTACTCACCCACCTCCCCCTACCTAAAGTGCCTTCCTTGTCCTTACCTTTAGCAGATCTCTCACAGAATCACAGAGCGGTTGAGTTTGGAAGGGACCCCTCGAGGTCATCTGGTCAAACCCTTCTGCTCAAGCAGGGCCACCTAAAACCGGTTGCCCAGGACCATGTCCAGATGGCTTTTGAATATCTCCAAGGATAGAGACCCCCACAACCTCTCTGGGCAACCTGCTCCAGCGCTCGGCCACCCTCACAGTAAAAATGTGTTTCCTGATGTTCAGAGAGAACTCATGTGTTTCAGTCTGTGCCCATTGCCTCTTGTCCTGTCACTGGGCACCACTGAACAGAGCCTGGCGCTGTCCTCTTTGTACACTCCCTTCAGCTCCATGATGTATATTAATACATATTGTATATACATTAATAAGATCTCCCCTCAGCCTTCTCTTCTCTAAAATAAATCATCCCAGCTGTCTTAGTCCCTGCTAATAGGAGAGATGCTCCAGTCCTTTCATCATCTTTGTGGCCTTTCTTTGCACTCTCTTCAGTATGTCCATGTCTCTTCTGCACTGAGGAGCCCAGAACTGCACACAATACTCCAGGTGTGGCCTCCCCAGTGCTGAGTAGAGGGGACGGATCACCTCCCCCAGCCTGCTGGCACTACTCTGTCTAATGCAGCCCAGGATACCATTCGTCTGCTTTGCAGCAAGGGCACATCGCTGGCTCATGTGGAACTTGGTGTTCACCAGGATCCCCAGGTGCTTTTCTGCAAAGCTTCTGTCCAGCTGGGTCACCCCCAGCATGTACTGGTGCATGGGGCTGTTCCTCCCCAGCCGCAGGACTTTGACCTTCTCCTTGTTGAACTTCACAAGGTTCTTGTCAGCCCATTTCTCCCAGAACAAACACACACCTCACAACATCTACCACTAACTTGCTGCTTGCCAAGGCTTGCAACTTGCTATTTGGGAAATCCCCACGGAAACACTCCTGTGCACCGT